GGCGTCAATCTCGGATTTCTAAAAATTCATGAAAATGCGAAATACAACAACAGTGGCATTCACACACACACACACACACACACACACACACACACACACACACACACACACACACACACACACACACACACACACACACAAACACACACACACGCGCGCGCGCACGGAAGTGGAATAGTCTGGCAAGAGATGTAGTGGAGGCAGGAACTATACTTAGTTTTAAGACGAGGTATGATAAACCTCATGGAGCAGGGAGAGGGAGGACCCAGTAGCGGTCAGTGAAGAGGCGGGGCCAGGAGCTGAGTCTCGACCCCTGCAACCACATTTAGGTGAATTAGGTGAGTACACACACACACACACACACACACACACACACAACACACACACACACACACACACACACACACACACACACACACACACATACACACATACACACACACACACACACACACACCATTTCAGTAAATGAAATGATGGAATATGTAACAACAAAATACAAGGATGCAGTGGAAAGGTTTATTCCCAAGGGCAACAGAAACAACGGGAAGACCAGAACGAGCCCCTGGTTTACCCGACGGTGTAAGGAGGCAAAAACAAAGTGCAATAGAGAATGGAAAAAGTACAGAAGGCAGAGAACACACGAGAACAGGGAGATCAGTCGCAGAGCCAGGAACGAGTACGGACAGGTAAGGAGGGAGGCCCAGCGACAGTATGAAAATGGCATAGCATCGAAAATCAAGACTGACCCGAAACTGTTGTATAGCCACATCAGGAAGAAGACAACAGTCAAAGACCAGGTGATCAGATTAAGGACAGAAGGGGGAGAACTCACAAGAAATGACCAGGAGGTATGTGAGGAGCTAAACAGGAGATTTAAGGAAGTTTTTACAGTAGAGACAGGAAGGGCTGCGGGAAGTCAGCACAGAAGGGAACATCAAGAGGGAATATACTACCAAGTGTTGGATGACATACGAACAACCGAGGAGGAGGTGAAGAAGCTGCTAAGTGACCTTGATACCTCAAAGGCGATGGGACCGGACAACATCGCCCCATGGGTCCTTAGAGAAGGAGCAGAGATGCTGTGCGTGCCGCTAACCACAATCTTCAACACATCCCTTGAAACTGGGCAACTACCTGAGAAATGAAAGACAGCAAATGTAGTCCCCATATTTAAGAAAGGAAACAGAAACGAGGCGCTAAACTACAGACCTGTGTCTCTGACATGTATTGTGTGGAAAGTTATGGAGAAGATTATCAGGAGGAGAGTGGTCGAACACCTGGAACGGAACAAGATTATAAATGAAAACCAACATGGGTTCATGGAAGGCAAATCTTGTATCACCAACCTCCTGGAGTTTTATGACAAGGTAACAGAAGTAAGACACGAGAGAGAGGGGTGGGTTGATTGCGTTTTCCTAGACTGCAGGAAGGCCTTTGACACAGTTCCCCACAAGAGATTAGTGAAGAAGCTGGAGGATCAGGCGCATGTAAAAGGGAGGGCACTGCAATGGATCAGAGAATACCTGACAGGGAGGCAGCAACGAGTCATGGTACGTGAAGGGGTATCACAGTGGGCGCCTGTGACGAGCGGGGTCCCAAAGGGGTCAGTTCTAGGACCAGTGCTATTTTTGATATATGCGAACGATATGATTAGGAGGAATAGACTCTGAAGTGTCCCTATTCGCAGATGATGTGAAGTTGATGAGAAGAATTAAATCGGATGAGGATGAGGCAGGACTGCAAAGAGACCTGGACAGGCTGGACATGTGGTCCAGAAACTGGCTTCTCGAATTCAATCCTGCTAAATGCAAAGTCATGAAGATTGGGGAGGGGCAAAGAAGACCGCAGACAGTTCCAGCCAACGAGAACACTCCTGCTCGTCTCTGGTAACTGGCCAAGGTTTATAATCCGGCCTGGACATATTCTGTTTTATTCTGACTGCTTCCAATTGGGAAACAAGAGTTCATACATTAAAGTAATCTCTATATACATATATGTTATATCTAGGATCTCCATTTATATATATGTTATATCTAGGATCTCCACCTAATCGTCTGTTATGAAAGCCTTATATATATATTTTGGATAATATAGAACAAACATGCATTCTTAACTTATATACGATAATTCGTATATTATTTCTGGCTTTTGTTGTATTATGAATATACTTAATTAAAATTAGGCATTCCGGAGGATCACTATTATTACCCTAACCTCTCTGACCAAAAATGGTTATGCTGTAAAAAGAAGGAAATAGTGGTTACAATACTTGGAGTGTATTATTCACTGCTCGTCCCTCAACCTTGAGCATACAGATAAAGTGGGTCACGTGACGTGACTCACCAACACTCAGTAGAGTAGTTGAACATAAAGGGGGGGGGAAGGGGGGTATAACCATCGAACATCACGGCTAACCATACACCGGCACACCGGGCGGCAGGCAGGTTACTATACCTCCAATTAAAGTTATCATGGCCATATTAACAATTATGATTTATGTAACAAGAATTAGCCTTAATAATACGATGACGTTCATTTCCAATTTAGCTATTAAAGGAAATAACCGCAATGTGATATTAAAGGAAGGTTAACCATAGGGGCATGACACCCCGGCCCACAAGCAAATATCTCGGCGTTTAAGATGCTGATGGTGTAGAAGAAACCAACCAGCTGGTATAGGGATGGAGGTACATCATTCCAAGGTTAGTCATCCACTTGCTAGAACTGGACCAGAAACATTGCTAGACTGCAAAGAATTTCCGTAGTTAGGCAATATATTAGGAGCGAGAGAGAGCATCGGCTAACACGTTGCTCGAACCCTTTATGTGAAAAATGGAGATCCGGTAAGGCTGGATCCTTAAAGCCCAGCGTTATATTCTAACATTTTTTGATTTTATAGAATTTATGAAAGTTAGAGGATTATGGTCTGAGTAAATATTTATCACATGAGGAGTATAACCGAGGTATACGTCAAAGTATTCTAAGGACAATACTAAAGCCAGGGCTTCTTTTTCTATGGTTGAATAAGATCTTTGATATTCTTTCAATTTATAGGAAAAATAACATATTGGATGTAGAATATTACCGTTTTGGAAGGATTGCAATAAGACAGGACCTATTGCTGCATCACTGGCATCAACATGGAGGGTGAAAGGAATTTGGAAATTGGGTGCACGCAATACTGGGGCGGAGGAAAGGAAACGTTTTAAACGTTTAAAAGCTTGTTCACAATTCTCGTCCCAATTAAATTTATATTTAGGACTGGTCATTCTAGTCAGGGGGGAGGCAACTTGAGCAAAGTTTGGGCAAAAATGCCTGTAATAAGTAGCCATTCCCAGTAGCAGCCAACGAGAACACTCCTGCTCGTCTCTGATAACTGGCCAAGGTTTATTAGCCGGCCTGGACATATTCTGTTTTATTCTGACTGCTTCCAATTGGGAAACAAGACTTTATACATTAAAGTAATCTCCATTTATATATATGTTATATCTAGGATCTCCTCCTAATCGTCTGTTATGAAAGCCTTATATATATATTTTGGATAATATAGAACAAACATGCATTCTTAACTTATATACGATAATTCGTATATTATTTCTGGCTTTTGTTGTATTATGAATATACTTAATTAAAATTAGGCATTTCGGAGGATCACTATTATTACCCTAACCTCTCTGACCAAAATTGTTATGCTCTAAAAAGAAGGAAATAGTGGTTACAATACTTGCCTTTTGAACTCGAATCATTATCATTATTTCTCTTCCAAAGAAAACCGTCTTCATCTAAAAGGTAACCTTCCTCTTTATCCTTATTGGTTAAACTTTTATCGTCCTTTAGAGCTATAAGAAATTCTTCTTTATTACATTTTCTAGCTAGGTCCGCAGGGACTGGTAAAACTTTGTCACCTGTGGGTCTCGACTGAATTGCTTCACTAAACAGGAAGTTCAAACCTAATTCATCGGACATTTCTAAAGGCTGTTGAATATCCACATTTTTAGAGTTCTTAGCCATGGCTCTGGTGACCACATTAAGGGGAAATAAATCTAGCCCTGCCTCAGAGGCTTCTAATGCATAATTTACATCACAAGGATTATCTAAAACCAGAGGCTCTCTGGGTATCTCCAATTGATCAATTTCGTTCCCGATTAATAGATCCACGCCGGCAATGGGAAAAGGTTTATCTGAAAGTCCCACATTGATCCAGCCTACATATCCAGGCAGTTCTACATAAATCCTTATAATAGGGACCTTTATTATTGTGCCTCCGTAAGCCTCTAATAATACGTCTAGCCGGGGTTCATTACTAGTAGGTAACTTTACCAGGTTTGATCTTAATAAAGAGAGATAGCTGCCAGTATCTCGAAAGGTCGTGATGTTTACTAACCTCTCTTTACAGAGTCCGAACTTCCCCTGGGAAAAGTAGGGTTCCATAGCTACTCGGACCTTTTCTTCTGAAGCACTGGCGTGGTAAATTCATCTATTAGACGGTCTGCTAGTCGAGGCCTGGAAAGGTAAAGATTCATCATCCAGAGTTTCATACTTCCGAGAGGAATTTATTATCTGAGTAGGATATCTCCATCTTGGTTGGGTTTTATCTTCCCGCTGTTTATGCCAACACTGGGACTGTCTATGACCAAACTTTTTACAAAAAAGGCACAATGGTAATTGATCTTTAGGGTAATGCCTGGAGAAAGAGCCGTTCGTCACCTGTTTTTTTCTGAAAACACCTTGAAAGGTTCGCCAGCTGGAGCTTTCCTAGTAGTCAATCTTGAACTAAAACCTTGGGAGGTAGATTTCTTTTCCGGGGCCTTAGACATTTCTGTGGTTATAGCACGGGAAATTTCAAAGTGATCTGCGTGGGCAGCAGTATCTAACAAGTTAGTAGTAGGAAATGTCAAAAGATAAGTATGAACCCTCTCTGGAAAATATTTAAAAAGGTCTTCATGCAACATCAGCTGGGAAAGTGACTCGACTGAGGCGGCTCCCGCGGCCCTACGTCAACGCTCGAAAGCAGAGAGCTTTTCCCTGGCAAAGTCCACCCAAGACTGCTGAGGATATTTCTTCAGAGTTCTAAACATCTTCAAGTAACTGACAGGTAATAAATCGTAAGCTTTCAGAAGACAATCTTTTACCTGAGTATAATCAGAATATTGTTCAAAAGGTAAGTTTGCAGTTATGGTTTGGGCTTTTCCTATTAAAGATGAATGTATTAAAGCAGCCCAATATTTAGGAGGCCATTGCATCACCTTCGCCTGATTTTCGAATGCCTCGAAAAATGAATCTAAATTATCCTCAGTAAATTTAGGCATCAAAGAGGCTGCTTTACTAAGGTCGAATGAAGGGATTGTATACATATTACTCGATTCTCTTTTCTTCCTCAGTACTTCCCGTTCATAAAGCAAAGATTCACGTTCAAAATTCTCCCTTTTCAATTTTCTCTGGGCTTCTACAAAGGAGGTTTGAAGCGATAAAATACGTTCTAGACGTTCGAAATTCTCCTTAGATTGAATAGTAGTCAAAAGGGCTAAAGAGATTTGAGGTGGAACGTGTTCATCATCCAATAGGACTTCCTCTTGTTCTGTTTCAAAAACATCTGTAAAGGGTTTACCTGGAACCGTTTCTTTAGCCTGATGGAGTTCTGTTCCCCATATAGTCCTTGGAGATGGAATTGGGGTCGTTGTAGCAGCGTAGCGTTTCCGAGTATCGGGAAGGTCATGTCCGTCGTCTCCAGTAGGGGTTGTTAGCGTCGTAGTTTCGGCCTCGGGTGTCTGTAGTAAAGAATTCAAAAAGGAAGGAATATCTGCTTCTCCATTCTCAGTCTCTGGATCCTGCTCATCTGGAAAAAGGACATTCTGTATCATACATCTGACTGTCTGGGCAGTGAAATGCCTGTCGTATTTTATGCCCAAGCTTCGTGCTAATTGCCAACAAGATTGAAGCTTCAAATTCTGTAATCTCTCCTTTGTTATATCTTCAAACCTCTCTGCCATTTCTACATTCATTTTAAAGGAAATTCAGTGTTATGATCCCAGACACAGGCCCCCACTTGCCTAATTTTAATTAAGTATATTCATAATACAACAAAAGCCAGAAATAATATAAGAATTATCATATATAAGTTAAGAATGCATGTTTGTTCTATATTATCCAAAATATATATATAAGGCTTTCATAAAAGACGATTAGGAGGAGATCCTAGATGTAACATATATAAATGGAGATTACTTTAATGTATAAAGTCTTGTTTCCCAATTGGAAGCAGTCAGAATAAAACAGAATAGGTCCAGGCCGGCTAATAAACCTTGGCCAGTTACCAGAGACGAGCAGGAGTGTTCTCGTTGGCTGCTACTTCTTCCTATACCCTGTTGAGCTTGACTCTAGTCTGATTTTGTAGAGAGACATCAGAGGTGTAGCATAAGTGGGAGGTGGCTCTGCCTAGCGTAGGGCGGCCGTCAATGAAATACCACTACTCAGATCGTTTCTTTACTTACTCGGTGAGACGGAATCGGAGTCTTCCCATGCGAGAGGTCCCGGGTTCAACTCCCGGACAGGCCCCCACTTGTTACACTCCAAAGTATTGTAATCACTATTTCCTTCTGGTTAGAGCATAACAACTTTGGTCAGAGAGGTTAGGGTAATAATAATGATCCTCCAGAATGACTAATTTTAATTAAGTATATTCATAATACAACAAAAAGCCAGAAATAATATACAAATTATCGTATATAAGTTAAGAATACATGTTTGTTCTGTATTATCTAAAATATATAAGGCTTTCATAACCGATTAGGAGGAGATCCTAGATATAACATATATATATATATTATATATATATATTATATATTATATTATATATATATATATATATAATATATATAAAAATATATATATATATAATATATATATATATATATATATATATATATATAATATATATAGTAATATATAAAGATAGAGAGAGAGAGAGAGAGAGATTACTTTAATGTATAAAGTCTTGTTTCCCACTTGGAAGCAGTCAGAATAAAACAGAATATGTCCCTGCCGTATAATAAACCTTGGCCAGTTACCAGAGAGGAGCAGGAGTGTTCTCGTTGGCTGCTACTTCTTCTTTATCCTTATTGGTTAAACTTTTATCGTCCTTTAGAGCTATAAGAAATTCTTCTTTATTACATTTTCTAGCTAGGTCCGCACGGACTGGTAAAACTTTGTCACCTGTGAGTCTCGACTGAATTGCTTCACTAAACAGGAAGTTCAAACCTAATTCATCGGACATTTCTAAAGGCTGTTGAATATCCACATTTTTAGAGTTCTTAGCCATGGCTCTGGTGACCACATTAAGGGGAAATAAATCTAGCCCTGCCTCAGAGGCTTCTAATGCATAATTTACATCACAAGGATTATCTAAAACCAGAGGCTCTCTGGGTATCTCCAATTGATCAATTTCGTTCCCGATTAATAGATCCACGCCGGCAATGGGAAGAGGTTTATCTGAAAGTCCCACATTGATCCAGCCTACATATCCAGGCAGTTCTACATAAATCCTTATAATAGGGACCTTTATTATTGTGCCTCCGTAAGCCTCTAATAATACGTCTAGCCGGGATTCATTACTAGTAGGTAACTTTACCAGGTTCGATCTTAATAAAGAGAGATAGCTGCCAGTATCTCGAAAGGTCGTGATGTTTACTAACCTCTCTTTACAGAGTCCGAACTTCCCCTGGGAAAAGTAGGGTTCCATAGCTACTCGGACCTTTTCTTCCGAAGCACTGGCGTGGTAAATTCATCTATTAGACGGTCTGCTAGTCGAGGCCTGGAAAGGTAAAGATTCATCATCCAGAGTTTCATACTTCCGAGAGGAATTTATTACCTGAGTAGGATATCTCCCTCTTGGTTGAGTTTTATCTTCCCGCTGTTTATGCCAACACTGGGACTGTCTATGACCTAACTTTTTACAAAAAAGGCAGAATGGTAATTGATCTTTAGGGTAATGCCTGGAGAAAGAGCCGTTCGTCACCTGTTTTTTTTCTGAAAACACCTTGAAAGGTTCGCCAGCTGGAGCTTTCCTAGTAGTCAATCTTGAACTAAAACCTTGGGAGGTAGATTTCTTTTCCGGGGCCTTAGACATTTCTGTGGTTATAGCACGGGAAATTTCAAAGTGATCTGCGTGGGCAGCAGTATCTAACAAGTTAGTAGTAGGAAATGTCAAAAGCTAAGTATGAACCCTCTCTGGAAAATATTTAAAAAGGTCTTCATGCAACATCAGCTGGGAAAGTGACTCGACTGAGGCGGCTCCCGCGGCCCTACGCCAACGCTCGAAAGCAGAGAGCTTTTCCCTGGCAAAGTCCACCCAAGACTGCTGAGGATATTTCTTCAGAGTTCTAAACATCTTCAAGTAACTGACAGGTAATAAATCGTAAGCTTTCAGAAGACAATCTTTTACCTGAGTATAATCAGAATATTGTTCAAAAGGTAAGTTTGCAGTTATGGTTTGGGCTTTTCCTTTAAAATGAATGTAGAAATGGCAGAGAGGTTTGAAGATATAACAAAGGAGAGATTACAGAATTTGAAGCTTCAATCTTGTTGGCAATTAGCACGAAGCTTGGGCATAAAATACGACAGGCATTTCACTGCCCAGACAGTCAGATGTATGATACAGAATGTCCTTTTTCCAGATGAGCAGGATCCAGAGACTGAGAATGGAGGAGCAGATATTCCTTCCTTTTTGAATTCTTTACTACAGACACCCGAGGCCGAAACTACGACGCTAACAACCCCTACTGGAGACGACGGACATGACCTTCCCGATACTCGGAAACGCTACGCTGCTACAACGACTCCAATTCCATCTCCAAGGACTATATGGGGAACAGAACTCCATCAGGCTAAAGAAACGGTTCCAGGTAAACCCTTTACAGATGTTTTTGAAACAGAATAAGAGGAAGTCCTATTGGATGATGAACACGTTCCACCTCCAATCTCTTTAGCCCTTTTGACTACTATTCAATCTAAGGAGAATTTCGAACGTCTAGAACGTATTTTATCGCTTCAAATCTCCTTTGTAGAAGCCCAGAGAAAATTAAAAAGGGAGAATTTTGAACGTGAATCTTTGCTTTATGAACGGGAACACTCCAAGTATTGTAACCACTATTTCCTTCTTTTTAGAGCATAACAACTTTGGTCAGAGAGGTTAGGGTAATAATAGTGATCCTCCGGAATGCCTAATTTTAATTAAGTATATTCATAATACAACAAAAGCCAGAAATAATATACGAATTATCGTATATAAGTTGAGAATGCATGTTTGTTCTATATTATCCAAAATATATATATAAGGCTTTCATAACAGACGATTAGGAGGAGATCCTAGATATAACATATATGTATATAGAGATTACTTTAATGTATGAAGTCTTGTTTCCCAATTGGAAGCAGTCAGAATAAAACAGAATATGTCCAGGCCGGATAATAAACCTTGGCCAGTTACCAGAGACGAGCAGAAGTGTTCTCGTTGGCTGCTACTTGGCTTGAGCACCTATTGCTGCATCACTGGCATCAACATGGAGGGTGAAAGGAATTTTGAAATTTGGTGCACGCAATACTGGGGCGGAGGAAAGGAAACGTTTTAAACTTTTAAAAGCTTGTTCACAATTCTCGTCCCAATTAAATTTATATTTAGGACTGGTCAATCTAGTCAGGGGGGAGGCAACTTGAGCAAAGTTTGGGCAAAAACGCCTGTAATAAGTAGTCATTCCCAAAAATCGTTGGAGGGCTTTCCTGTCCTGAGGCTTAGGAAAATTTAAAATAGTTTGGACCTTTAATTGGTCGGGGGCTACTAGTCCCTTCCCTATTTTAAAACCGAGATATTTAATCTGGGCTTTACCAAAATCACATTTTTGTAAATTTACAGTGAAATTGTATATCTGCAATTCTTTCAGTAGTTGCTCTAATCTTTCTAAATGAGACTGCCAATCATCACTAAAAACCACCAGGTCGTCTAAGTATGCCTCTACACCTTCTAAGGGTTGGACTAAAATGTTCATAATTCTCTGGAAAGTGGAGGCTGCGTTACACAAGCCGATAGGCATAACCTTATACGTAAATAGTCCGTTCTTAACTACGAACCCGGAAATCTCTTGGGCCCTAGGAGTTAACGGCACCTTGTAATACCCTCTCAGTAAGTCTAATCTGGTCACAAAGTTGGCACCGGCTACAGCATCTATTAAATCATTAATCCTGGGTAATGGAAACCCATCTGGTTTGGTGACTGAATTTACTTTACGGTAATCCGTGCATAGGCGTACGGTACCATCGGGTTTTGGGACCAATAAACAGGGAGAGGCCCAAGGTGTCCAACTGGGTTCTATCAAATTATATTCCAGTAATGTATTTATTTCTTGTTGAATTAATTCTTGCTTAGCAGGAGAGACCCGGTAAGGGGATTGCTTTATTGGACTATCTTCTAACAATTCAATATCGTGGAAACCCAATGTACAAGGAGTAGGGATATCTTTGAAGATGGAGTTATATTTAGTGATTAACTCTTTTATTTGAGATTTTTGGGAGGTAGGAAGAACTTCCAGGAAATGGTCTAGTTGTTTTAAAACTTCAGAATTATGTAGTCTAAATTCTCTTACTTCCCTTACAGTGTCATTCCTTATTTCAGTGGATGTAGGTTGACTAGAGGTAATAATAGTAGGGAGAAGGCTAGACTCGTACTTCTTTAAGTTATCTATGTGATACCTCTTAATTTTCTTATGACGTCCTGGTTCACGGACCAGATAATTCACCTCATTTTCTTTGTCTACTATTTCATATGGCCCCAAATATCTAGGTTTTAAAGAATGTCCTGGAATTAAGTTTTTAACTAACACTAATTCATTTGGAGAGAATGAACGAGATTTAGCCTTTTGGTCGTAAGATTTCCTCATTTTGGCTGCTACTTCTTCTCTCATGTTACTCCCAAAGTTGCCATGTGAATGTTGTTATCAATGATGAATGGAGTTTTCAAGATGGCAAAAGAAGCACACATTGCATACAGCCGTGTATGAACTATTGGTGCCATGATTTTTGCAACTTTGGGTGGAAAGACTGGAACAATGGCATTACAGCGAGTTTTCTGCTCACCCCATTGTAGTTGCATTTCTTTCTTTTTCTCATCTTCAGAGTTTAAGTCACTGAAGGACACTATGGCCACTTGACTCATAATGGTGTATGGTGAATCAACCAAAGCATGAATACCATATGACCAGGGACTGATGCTGACAGAGTCCCTGCTGGAAGCATACACTGGGATGCCAGAAATAGTGAAATGCTTGAGAAACTCAAACTTGTTAAGATCCATCATCATGGCAAAGTCTGGGTCCTGGAGGTCAGATACAGTGGATGATAAAGTAATTCTACAACAATCTTCTGCAATATTGTTAATCTTCAGAATTTTGTGTTTGTGCTCCTCATATACATTCATAAAATCTTTACAGTCATTCATATAATCTTCAGCTGTGTGGCCTTGCGTTTGTAAGACTTTGACGTTCTATATTACCCAGGTAGTAAATTCCTCTCGGAAGTATGAAACTCTGGATGATGAATCTTTACCTTTTCAGGCCTCGTCTAGCAGACCGTCTAATAGATGACTTTACCACGACAGAGCTTCAGAAGAAAAGGTCCGAGTAGCTATGGAACCCTACTTTTCCCAGGGGAAGTTCGGACTCTGTAAAGAGAGGTTAGTAAATATCACGACCTTTCGAGATACTGGCAGCTATCTCTCTTTATTAAGATCGAACCTGGTAAAGTTACCTACTAGTAATGAATCCCGGCTAGACGTATTATTAGAGGCTTAAGGAGGCATAATAATAAAGGTCCCTATTATAAGGATTTATGTGGAACTGCCTGGATATGTAGGCTGGATCAATGTGGGACTTTCAGATAAACCTTTTCCCATTGCTGCGTGGATCTATTAATCGGGAACGAAATTGATCAATTGGAGATACCCAGAGAACCTCTGGTTTTAGATAATCCTTGTGATGTAAATTATGAATTAGAAGCTCCCGGACAGGCCCCCACTTGTTACACTCCAAGTTTTGTAACCACTATTTCCTTCTTTTTAGAACATAACAACTTTGGTCAGAGAAGTTAGAGAATGAGGGTAATTTAGTTAATAAAATTCTTCCTGAAAATGAAAAGTATATAAATGGAAACTCCAAAGAGGCAGCCATTAAAGTTGAGAATGATGCATCAAATAGCGACATATAGGAAACCAAGCCTTTCGGCTTGTGTAACGCCGCCTCCACTTTCCAGAGAATTATGAACATTTTAGTCTAACCCTTAGAAGGTGTAGAGGCATACTTAGACGACCTGGTGGTTTTTAGTGATGATTGGCAGTCTCATTTAGAAAGATTAGAGCAACTACTGAAAATATCTGGTTCGACAAGTGGCGTGTCGATGATGCAGAACGTCAGTTTTATGAAAATATGGCCATGATAAGTTTAATTGGAGGTATA